GTCAAATGTACCCCCTATTTAAAGGACTATAACTTTCTTCATTGATAACCATTTCAGAAAGTGAAGGCAGCTTTTGAATGCACAAGACTTCTAGTTTCTAAATTGTGCTGAGCGTTTTTCTAAGCACGCCTATTCTCGAGAGTGGGAGACGTCGAGGAATTGTCGAGGAAATTGAAATTTACATGCGAGTTCCCACTCTTTGGAAGACAGTAGCTGTCTTCATTGGCAATGCTTTGAAAATCGGAGGAAAGCGTTGTAAAGTAGAAGATTTACGCTTTCTGATAGGTGCTCCAGTTGTTTCGAACGCTTTCTAGTTCGCGAGAAATCTGCGTCGAGGAAATGTCAAGGAAATTTTCGAAGCCACTCGAAAACTCTATTACTCCCTCGCCGTAGTAGGGAACTTCTTTGAACACCTTCAAAATGCTTCTGTACACGTCAGTTCGATGGAGTAAATTGAAAATGATGCACTTGGCGCAGATCCATTCCGTTCTTGTATGCGCCATGCAGTGACCCCACTCGGAGTCATTGGGAAGGTGTTTTGTCCTAGTGACGACTTGCTTAAGCACACCAAAAGATATTTCCAGTATTAACTAATTAGGATAACTCTTGTGGTCATAGTGATGTCTATTCTTTATTCAAATCGCTTCCTTTCCAACCCGTTCTGATGAATGACACGCTTGCGGTTGCAGGATCTGATGATGCCAAGAAGGCTGCGAATCTGCCTGTTTTGAACTTTCTACCAAGATGCTGTTCCTCCACTAAGTTCTCGAAGCATGTACATCATTCTAGAGTAGATACTCGCTGCCCTTTCCCTACGATTCTTTTGCAGGACGCGTTGCCTTCCTATGCCATACTGATCACTACGAACCAAACCAACAACCACTTTCCATTTAAATTTTAATTCCAGACAGTTGTAAGATATTATTTGCATTAGGCTAACTACAACACTTGTGAAACTAATGATGACAGCAAATAAGTGGCAGCAGCACCGTTGTGTCCGTTGATGAACCTTTTGATTACGACCCCCTCCCAACTCTCATCGGAGCAAATACGACCCCCTGTCGAGGATTTCCTCGACCGTTATTCACCCTGCTAGGGATGCTCATCTGCGAAAAATCCTACACGCCTTTGTTTCACATCTGTGTTCTGAGAATTCTGGCAATGTGCAACCGACCAATCTACTTTACTGGTCAAGTGGATTGTTTTAGTGGGCTCGTTATAGGATGCAACTCTACTTTGATTTGAGCTACAGATTCTCATTCATTCAAAGATCGCATAAGGAAATCGTGCAAACGAACACTTCGAAAAAAAAACCGTTACGTAAACCCGAAAAATTGGGCCTTGGTGAGGAAGACCCTGGAGAGCATCGCTAGAAGAAAGACGGTGCAGCACTTGAATGCATGACTTACATCGGAAAATTGGTGATATGAAAGTGGATATCATGGAACCAGCGTTGATAGAGAAGTAAAACATGGAAAAGAATAACGACAGCATCCGCTCCTGAAATTCGCAGGTAAAGAAGTTGAGAACAAGGCAATCAAGAGAGGCTAGGAAGTAATCGCTCATCCATGTTTCATCTCTTACCTGGCCTACTTCAAACTGATCACCTCCGAAAGCTGAGACACAAGGTTTGATACCACCTGTTCCGAAGCCAATAATAATCAATCCTGCCAAGTCCATCCATCTGAAAATCCAATTTCAACCCTTCCGTACCCTTAAGAGTACGCAGACTTCTCACGACCCACGCTTGCTTGCCAATCGTAACTTATCAAAAAACTACCAACGAACTACGAGCTACATATTTCTTTCACTGTTGCCTACGTCAGCTCTTTTGTAGCCAATGAAAGCAGTGACCTTACGACTTACGGATGAATGCTGGACTCTTTGTTCTTGACGGAAGCAATAGCGAGAATTACTTGACCGCAGGCGTACAGAATTGAAACGGAGAAAATCGTCCTAAAGTTTGACTTTTTTTAGAGCTTAAGTAGTAAAAGCCTTGGTGCAAGTGCAGTCAGAGCTATGTGTGTCAAGAAATGTCAGAATCAAGGACTCTATAAGCGCAGGAGTCGCCTAGTCGTCGAGATTTCACAAGTTTTCCCAACGTGACGGTTAACCCTGCGCTACCAACCATACGTTGACCAATGTGTCAGCGTCTCCAGACTTTTTATCGGCTTCCGATTCCGTAATCATGTCCTCATCTGCCTTTAAGGTCTGATGCTGAGTTGCAAGTGAGGTCTTTTCCATAGGTACTAACATACATATGCACTGCCATTGAAAACACTTCTAAAGCCACATTTCGCGACTATCTGTGCGTAGAATCCTTTCTCACTCCCTCCGATTGTTAAGTGATTAGGTCTACAACCACACAGATCGTGCCGTTCTCACGGCTCCTCGGTGGCAGGAACTAATAATGCTCGCAGCCCAATTATACCAGAAAGGAGGCTCTTCGCTCAACGAGAAGGCAGAGACGCAGGCGGGCTACTGGGAGTCGCAGCACGTACTGCTATGATTTCGCAAATGCGCTATAGTACGTCCCACATCGCACAGTAAGCGCTGTGACTTGTCCGCTAACCAGGGTCAACCCTACCGTTGGGACTTTTTGAAAAATTTTTACGACCCCCCTCCTTCATGAGGAATTTCATACGACCCCTTCTTCACAACTTCTTTTTCCCTCAAAAACACCGTCGAGCGGCGGCGTGGGGTGGGGAGGGTTTACCTGCATTTCCTCTGCAACATTTTCCAGAGCATATATACGCACGCTGAAACGGCAAATTTTCTCCCGCGCGCTCTCACCTCATTACATGTAATTTCGTGCTACCGAAACAAGTACGACCCCCCCCCGTTGGTACTTGTCCCACGTAGGGTTGACCCTGCCGCTGACCCGTTTGCATCTCTGTCATCTATTCACGGCCTCCTGTTGACACCCGCAGCCCCGCTGATGTATGCATACATATTCCTCATCTCAACCCTACCTAGACCAATCTCTTGCCCTTGGCTTTCACTCACTCTGGTGAAAGCTTGTTCAATGCTTCAATCACGCCAGGAAGGGTTCCATTTGTCTTTAGCTCATATTTCCCATCTTGAGAAGTTTTTCCTCTCTAGCGAACCACATAGTAAATAAGCTTGAACTTCTCCCTTATCTATATGGTTTCACTTGTTTACAAAGGAGTGGCTTCATATTATGCTATCTTGGGACCTTTCGAACCGTAGGTCGCTGATCCACCTGTGAGAAGAAACAGCAAAAGGGCCTGAGAGAATAAGGGACTAAAAAAAAATATTTGCTCACCAAAACTTCCCGATATAGCCGTCAGCTATTATTGATCCAAGTAAATGGTGTAAGATAGCAGAGTACGGTGAAACTGTTGAAGAAAATAGTCGACTGATTCTCCGTGAATTTCAGAACATTGAGCAAATAAAGGATGAGAACAGCTGAAATTCACATCATTCCCTATGAATTCCTATCGGTCACGTGCTTTCCAATAACTTTTTTCCCCGATGCAGAGAAGTCATTCATTCCACTTACATTGCACTATAAAATCGTGAACACAAGTACGGCGCCACGCATCACTGATAGCATAGCGGTTCTTATCAGAATGGTAAGCATAGACGCGGATTAGCCAGAAGTACTGCGTTGGTCTTTTGCTGAGAAAGCACGAGGAGGTACAAAAATGTGAGTGCTGTGATCTTTTCAGCCGACCTTTATCAGCTGTGCGGAAGGAATAGTGGAAAACATCGCAACAATTTACTTTTTGCAAACTGCCGTTCGGGTAGCATTCATGAATCGCTGCGGACTAGCTACCCACAAGATGTGGCTTCGTAGAGTAGCTTCAAGTAGAACATAATGACTAACTACATAGAAATGCTGCACATCATTGACACAGCGTACCGTACCTGTACTCAGGGTCAACCGTCACGTTGGACCGATTTCGAAAATTTTACGACCCCCTCCCCCTTCTAGAGGGCCTCGATACGACCCCCTCAGGGTCAACCCTTCACCACCCTCGCCTGCCATCGCCATCATGGGGCTCATTCTATAGTATTCGATTCTGAGACCAGTCGACACAGCCCAAACTCCGCCCACTTTTTTCCTCCAAAATTACCGTCAAGCGAGGTAGGGGAGGGTATATACCTACCACGAAACCGCAAACATCCTCTCACTTCCCCTCTATTTCACCAACATTTCCTAGGGGGAGGCTTATACACACCGTGAAACGGCAAAATTTTAGCGCGCCAACCAACTGCATCATCACTTCCCTTACTGTAACATTAACGCTACCTCGCGAAATACGACCCCCCTTTTTTCCACCCCAAATACGACCCCCCACCCCTCGTTGGACTTTGTCCAACGGACGGTTGACCCTGCCTCTACTGCAGCAGGAAACGTTTTATAGGGTACCGTACATTTCAAAAGAGAATTCCTGAGCTCGAAGTTTACAAGAAGAGAAGAAACGTGCATATGGCTGATAGCATTCTCAGTGTCTCTCCCCCCCCCCCCCTGGTGCCCCAACGAACGCAAAAAGTAAATGAGAAACGAAATAAAGAATGAAGAGATGGGAATGAAACAAGATTTTCGTCTCATCTTCCCCAAAAAAGTATGAAAGCTTTCCCTGCTTCGATGTTTTCAAGAATTCCACGCTTAAGCACAACGTTGATCTAAATTTGAGCTTTGAAATTATGGCGAGAACGCTCCGACAAAGCTCGCGCGCTTAGCGCAAGGTCTGGCAGTAGGCACGGCACCAAGAGCCTTCGAACTCACTTCTCATTCCATAGTACGAGAAACGTTCACAGAATTCATTGGAGACGATACACAATGTGGTTTTCGGCCAATGTCGAAGCATATCGCCCCACGTGGTGTACATCACCGTTTTCACCGGTGGCAGATCCAGCTCCAGCTGCATGTCGCTGCCTAAATAATGACAGGTAAGATCATATCACTACATCAACCTTGTCTGCTGTGAATGGGCATTCTCATAGTGAGCCTCAACTCCAGTTGTTGGACTGAGTCTGTGTAGCTGACTTGTGGGGCTAAACCGTAGGATAGAACGTGGCATAGTTATTACTGGTAGCTTCCTTGGTAATGGGCAGTCCGAAACGGTTTCGCAGGTACGCAGGTATTCTCGCCCAAAAATTGGCTACAGGATCCCCACGGGAAAGTGGACACCAGTAAGCCTGTAACCCCTCGCTGTGCTCAATTCGAAATCACTGTTTACCTTATTTAGCCTCTGTTCGCCATTGAAAAGCCAACATGGAATAACCAGTACATGAGTATCAAACAGACAATCGTTGTAGACAATCTTTTCTATGTAATGAGTAAGTTAGTAATTCAGCCGTGAAAATTCTCCGGTGAACTTGTGAAATTTTTTCCTCAGGCTCAAGTCTAGGTGAGCATTTTGGATGACAAAGCTAATTTTTCATACTGCTAACCTTATGAAAGACAATGGATTTCCAAACGGTAAATTTTGCGTGGTTTTCATAATTATCGATCGATCACTTTCCACTTGCTTCTGCACTCAACACGCACCCACTGCTGACAAATGCCAAGGTATACCAGTTGACAGTCAATTATGCTTATCGGAACACAGTAGAAGTGATAATCTCTTAACCCAACTCTTCTTTACACAGAGGCATTCTGAAAAAGTGGATACTAATCGAGACGTGTCTAAAGGCTATTAGAGTGAGTTTACAGCTTCTGCTATGAACAAGAAAGGAGGAAAGATGAAAGCTTCTGGCAAATGCATTCTATGGACAAACTCATTTCTTCCATTGCACTGAATAAATCAGAAACTTTCACAAGTAAATAAGGAAGAATTCGAGTTCAAACATTGTAAGCAGAAAATAATGATCAGATGATGAAAAAAGGCTTATTAGATTTGTAAGGTATGGAAATTTCTTCACAGTTGGGACCATCTAATGTGTTAATGATGGGTCGCAGAGTAGTGCTCAAGTTACTACAAAATTGTCCCTCGGACGACACAAAGCACAAATTTGGAAAGGAATGATCACGACACAGAAAGTAAAACGATTTAGTAAAACAGAAATCAACGACCGATGACTAACACTCACGTTCGTCACAATCGTTTTAGTATCGATGCAACTTTGGGTTTTTGAGGTATCCGCCGAGAACATTCGTTATCTGAAGCAATAAACAATTACAAAACTCATCTGATCGCGAGCATCCACGTACCTTTAGCTGACTCCGTTTCTTCCGGTCTCGCTCGTCACCATACGAAATGGCTGGACGGTCTCGATGTGTGGCAAGCGGCCTCGAATAAGGATGGCCTTATCTTTACAGGCGAAAGGACTTGAGCGCAGCAAACACGACGCAAGTATGTACCCTTTTCCGTGATTGAAGTCGGTCTTTCACACCCCTTTTATGCTACCCTGCCAACTGTTTCGGGTAAGGTCGAAAGTCAAACGTAATCCACAATACGTACACGGTTAAAGCTACTCGCATTACGATGTAAAATCGAATGGAACATGTTAGCTTCATTGTTAATGAGCGTAATAAATTTAGAATATCTAACTCACCATTCCACTGATGAAGAGCCAGGCCTACGCGCGGTCGTAATTTTATACCACTCCGTAATAGCAACAAGTCTACTTTGAACAAGGTTCCCACCTCTGTCGGATGCCCTTACCGAAACCTCGCCACACCCAAAACCTGAAAATAAACTGAGGATATCAACGTTCATCTGCAAAAACGCCACAACTCGAATATTTCTACGATTTTCCTTCATGCTCTCTCTGAGCTAAATTCTTCAGTTGAAAACACCCAATACATATAGCTCAAACAGTACTTTCTAAGTGACCAGTTGAGCTTAACAATCCAGTCGCTTCTTGAGAGGAAACTTTTTCCAAATTCATTCAAATCCATATTTCCGTCTGTTTACTTTGTTCATTAAACCATCCAACGGTATCTACAGCCGTCCATATATAACCAAAAACAGCTGCCTCCCACCTTCTAACCACGTTTGAGTCCAATCAATTGGATTTCCGTTTGCAAGCAGTTTCGTCGAGCGCAATTCTTCAAACCGGGCTTTCTTTCATTGCAGAAGAAAATCAGTGATGTGTAAAATATATCATACCACTTACTTTACTACTATGTATACTGTAGTGCACGTACTTAGCCACGGTTTCGTTAAATGTTCTGTTATTGCGATGTCCAACAATCACGTCGTTTTCTTCTGAATTAATGTTTTCCAGCAAAGTTGGATAGATTCAACAAGTTGCCCTAACTCTAGAGCCGAAAATCTCTTATTTTTTCGTGGCATTAAAAATTGATGGAAAAGAAAAAGTAATTATTTTCCTAAGAATAATTTTCTTATTTTTGCAGTGAAAACTTGATTTTGAAATTTGGCGGGTAAATCCGTAATTCTTGTGGACTGGATGCCCTATGTATGAGATTTGCCTGAAGTTTGATGTAATTGTGATGAAGAAATCGAAAATAAACTTGAAAATAAAAGTAGATTTTACATTCAAATAGCAAAAAAAAAGATTCCGAAAATTAAGTGACTGTGACCGTGACTAAGGTGTACATCAAGGATTGATTCTTGTACTAATTAAAACGTCCTCATTCTTATCCTTGCAACATTTTGCGTGAAGAAGTTCGATCACTCTTTCCACAGCCCGTGCAAGCCGAGTACTATTTTTTTGAGTACTGTGCCTTTTACCATGGATTCAACATTAATAAACGCAATAAAAAATGACCAAAGGTCAGCCTGCATATGCAATACCAGCAGCCACCATAACAAGTAGAGCGTCCAAAGATCTTTACATTGCAGAGTGGTTGCAGACAGGGTCCACTCATTAATTCGTTTAATATGAACTGAACTGTTGCACGGTATACTTTCAGCTTATCACAAGTAGGATAAGCTCTCGAATACGCATTCATTCCCCACGATTTTTTACACCGCGTTTCCTTTTGTCGGTTCAAAGAGAGGTTCTACCTCGACATGCTCCATGAAAGTGAAACTCGACTAAAATCCACCTCTATGATATTTATCTTCAACTGGTGAACTCCATCCACACTACGTTGAGTTATCTGTACGATTTGTGATTTTTGATTGCAAACATGGAATGGCCTCTGTAGTCTCTTTGCTTGCCTGCATGTACACAAGCGGCCTGCTCGTTGCTTTCTGCTTGTAAAAATAACATCAAGGCGAGGGTATACGAAATTAGATCATATACTCATTACTCATCATATCATCATTGCATACAGATGTCGGATTATTTCACATTCATTCGTACGTGTAAAGCCGGAAGGCTATCCCTGGTTGAGCAAAACGTAGTTTTGATGTTCAACTCAAAAAGAATTTGAAACATAGAAAATTAAAAAAAATTGTAATTCTAAACACTGAAAAAAGGCGGTAACCACAACAAAGGTCGACGCGTTTACAGTTGATTCAGAAGAGTGTTACCCTATCTCACAACCTGGACATTCATAACTCGATTACTACATATGTACAGGGTGGGCCAAAATTATGAGGACCGCGTGCGCGCGCAGTCATATCCACTTTTTTCCGAGTCGCTCCATTTTCATCTCTTTTCTGTGCACTATGTGAAAGGGTACAATGTCTTCTTCCTTTGAAACCAAATCACAAGTTCTCAAAACTAGTGAAAAAAAACTACGTCGCGGTACCTCAATCCTCAAACTGAACTCACTAGGGGGCGCGGGGGGTGGTTCTGGCCGTCCCTGCCCTTGCAGGGCAGTTCAAACGTAACGGAAGCTCTATGTGACAATAGTGAAGCTTCACTAGCTCGAACTCACCATAAGGATGAAAGTACGGAGATTCGATAATTATAGACAGAAACTCGCCTCTCCTTCTGTTCCTCGCCGTACCCCGAAGGAAAGAATTGATTAATGCTCGGCTCCTGGACCAGTCCCAAAGGCTCCACATCTTCGTCGTGGGTAGGAGCCTCAGCCGCTGTATTCTGGGTTCTCTTAACAGGAATCGAACTACTCCAATATAAAGACGCACCTCTAAAAAGCGCACTTCTTTCGCCTTTATTCCGCCTTTCGATGAATTGTTACTCAGAATCGCCACTTCTTTAACTTTCTGTATGGTACGCCCTGAGAAGTCAACAAAAAAATAAAGAAGACCCCCCCAGAGAACTTTTGATCTCTGAAGAGCAAAATCCCACGAAAGCGTGGAACATTTTGACACTGTTCCTTAGTTGCATGCCACCGCACATGCCATCCCTCTTCATCTGAAGGCTCATGCAAGCGCAGCAGGTAGCAGACCCTAATCCTGTTCTGCATTTACTTGGAGATAATAGTAGCAGACACTTTTCTAGAGATTTTTTCCATCAAGCAGCAATGCGTGCTTGAACGATGTCTTGGTGCTCATATTTTGGCCCACCCTGTAGTTATAGCCCATCAAGCGTGTTTCACAAATGAGAATATCTGCAGTAGGTGTTTTCTATAGCCTAATCAGTGGTGTTCTCCAAAAGAGCTTTAGCCAAGCTAGTGCAATAACCTGGGCCAGGAGCATCGAGGCGCTCCGGACTTCATGGAGGTCTTCTCTTGGGCGGTCTTACATGTTATTGGAAGTTCTGCGGCCTCTCGTCAGATGTAAGAGTGGAAGATTATACGTGAACTGCACTATCTCACCGGCGAGCCACACGGTCGTCAAAGGGTTAACCCATCAAGCCGATCTAACTATTACGGAGTTGTTTGCAATGTTTCTTACTGCACAATGATGCAATGTAGTTGGAAATTATGTCTTATCTCGAATAACGACTTAGTAGGGAACAGTTTGCGAATCTTCAGAGTTCAAAGAATTGCGTACGCCGACCACGTCATACATTTGTAAGCATTTCCAGGCCCACAGAAGAAATCCACGCAGCAGTATGCTCGGGGAACATGTCTTTGGCGATGCCACAGTTTCGCCTGCGTCTC